TTATGATCAAAGAATGGGAAAATGTTTCAAAAGAGACTATAGTAAATTTAATCAAGTCAATGAAAGAATGTTGTTAGCTCATAATTAATAATAAGGGGGATCAAATTTTATATTAAAATTTTTTATTAAAATTATGTCATTTTAAGCTTCCGAACAAGCTATAAATCACGTGATATTATTTATTGGTTGCAAACTTATGAGTAAAAACATATGTCCAAAGATTTTCTTATCACATTGTATATCCATATTAAAATTATTTGTTATATTAACTATATAAGCAAAAAGTAAAATATAATAAATAACTTATGTAAATAGTTATTAATAATCTTTATTGTTCTTATAAATAATCAAACTGATAGATTAAATAGTTTAAACTAGTAATAGGACTTCTATTTTTTAGATAAGCTTTTTCAAAAATATATGATTTACTTGTAGAATAGTTTAATATATTATAGAATATATAAAGTAGATATGTTAATATTTAGTTGTTGTAATAATAAAGACTAATTGATATAATATAATTTGATATAATTCAATAAAAATTTGTATTTAATACTGTTTTATTATAGAAATAAAATAAAATAACAAAAAATATTTTTATATTTTTACTTCTTATAAATATTGAATTAAGAACATATATTTGAAGATCTGAAAGCCCATCCATTATACTATTAATCTATAGATTATATAAAAAGTTTATTATTATTTTTCAAATATTAAAATTTTATTTAATAAAATTTAAATCAATAAAAAAATAATTAATAAGTACAAATATAGTAATTATACGTATATAAAATGAATTTTAAATTTTTTTTTGAAAAATTATAAAATAGCAACAAATAAATCAATTTAAATATTTTTCTTGTGACTAGAAGTTTTTTAATATTATTTTATCATTTTTTAAATTATAAATACTGTATGTTAAACAAATATTTTAAATGTTAATTTGATTTTTAAATTAATATTTAATATTTGTTTTAATAATATAACTTACGAAATATTAAAGTATTTATTATCCAATAATAAATACAACTATTATTAAAAATGCCCCATACTAAAAATTTATTAATCGTATTTACTGTATATATCTTATTTCTATAAAAATTATTCTACTCAAATATATTATAGAAGTCTAAATAAATAAAACAAATGACTCTGTTTACAGTCTATTGATTCAATCAGGGTAACATTGATGTTTTCGTCAAAAGGATATATGGTACATTGTTACAATGTCAACGACCTACAACATTGATACTTAAGTATGCATCCTTAGCAATAACATCGTTAGATTTACTATTAGAAAAGGCTGTAATAGATTCAGACGTGAATACTTTTTATAAATATGAATAACTTAATGATATAAAAAAATAATGCAATTTTTTGTTCAACTAGAATCCTCGTCAGTTCAAACAACTTTTTTGTATGTTGAAAAAAACAGAATTGTACTCCCATTGTTAATTAATCTTTCCGGACTGGATTTAATACAAGTGTATAAGACTATCCGGATCTAAGCGCTACCTTTCTCCTGAAACATCGAAAAGGGATTAAAAAGGGGAGATCCATTTAAAGAAATTATTGGTTCTCCTGGTATAATTTTTCGCATCTTCACAGATGTGACTGCTACTGGAAGTTTTGGATTAAAGCTTGACTACGATTTCAAGGAAAGATTTAATAAGTTATTTGCATAACATGATCTTACAATTGTGTAATTTCACTATACAAACCTGAGATTCTGTCATTTGAAGAATATTACTACTATTTTCTCTTTCATTAGAAGTAACCTTGGTAAAAAGTTCCTAATTTGACAATATGTTAAGAAAATAATTTTTGCCTTAGTATCAACAGAGAAAAACAGAAGTATCAGCTAACCTTGTTATTTTTTTTCATGAAGGGACTTCTTGGTATTTGTGCTAATTAAATTCAAAGACATACGTCAGATAATTTTTTTGTGTAGACAATTTATGCTTGTAATTGATGGAAATTTCTTACATGGTTTCAGAGGAGTGACTCCACTGTGCACAGATCGATATAGCTTCAAGGGTCCTAATAACATGAAGGATAAATAAATTTTCTCAAACAGAGAGAAAAAAATTTTTTTTTTTTTTTTCAAATATTACTAATCAATCTCCCAGGTCCACTTGTAATCCCATCTTGATTCTTCTGAGGTGTAAGAAATCGCTTTATTTCGCGATCTAATTTTACGCATTTAGAAAGTAAAAATTTAAAGGCATGATATTACACTATGAAATCACGTTCCAATAAATTCTTACTTGATCGTTTCCTAGGATTTCCTTCAATCTCCGATTGTTCTTCGATATTACTCTCATCAATATAACGTGTAGACAATTTTCTTTGAAGAGAAAATTCAAATTCAGTCAGAAAACAATTATTTGAAGCTTACTTTTATTAATAAGATGAATGGGTGAACCTTTTCTTTCCCGGTTCCACACGTGGAGTAATCTGATCGGTCGGCGTTTTTTTTTCCTCTGCAGCTTTCTTTTCGAAATATTCTTTTGGATTTGCATGATAAATGTTGATAAATTCCGCTAACGGTAATTGTCGGATCTCGAGAGGAATTTTTTCGATTTCAAGCATGCATTTTAAACGATGGTTTGATGCCTTTTCCTCAGCATTTTTCTTTATTTTCAGAATTCGTGCGTCAACTTTTAGCAATTAGATCAATCAATGACTAGGAAGGTAATTATGTATTAAAAAAAAAGAAAAAATAGCGGTTATACTATCGAACGTACATTCGAGTTCCAAATTCTCCAACAAACTGCGCTTTTGTTCTGCTGTAATTTTCAAATTTTTGAAAATGTTTCCGTCTATGTCAAAGTGACCTGATAACTTGGGTTGTTCGCTGAGACATACGCCGATATCCATTTTGTTCAGATACTTAAGAAGGTTTAAGTTATAAAAATCCCAATACACGTATGACGTATATTGTTATTCAATTATGTCACGTGATCATAAGGGTTAAAAAATTAAATAAAAAAAATCATACACTCGCATATTTATAAAATCACCATAATTCGAAACTTCTGGAAAAGCTTTTTTCTTAAAATTCAATTCTTCAAAAAAATATATTTATCTTGATATTTTAATCATTAATATTTAAAAGTTTTATTTACAAAAACATAAAAACAAATAAAATTCTTATATCCAGTCCAGTTGTTTCTTTTTATTTTTTTAAGCTTGAAAACGAAAACATTTTTCAAATATGACTTACTTTTGTTAAACTTATTTTTAATAAAATTAAAATAATTAAAATTATTATTTCTTTTAAAAATCAATTTTTCAATATATATATTTTTGTAAAAATATAGTTTATAGATTTAATATTCTTAAATATATTGAATTTTTAATATCTTTTTATAATTACAAATAATAATAAATCTATTATTATTTAAAAAATTATTATAAGAAGTTTTAATTAGAACCTTTATATTTTTTGAAACAAATTTGATATTTTTATTTTTGAATAAAAAATTCTAATATTTAAAAAACTCTTTTAAATATATTAACTTTTATTTAAAAAAACAAATAATACATCAGTTAGACCTGTGGATCTATAGTATAGTGGTTAGTACTTCACAGGTTAGATTACAAGATACCAGTTCAATTCCAGGTAAAGATAATTGAATAGAACCTATATAGTATTTGGCACCATAACCTATCATGTGCTGTTTTTCATGTAAAGCCATTTCACATACTGATCCAATAGGTGTTAAGATTGTGATCTTCAGAAAAGGTATTGTGATGTGACAATCATCCAGAAGGTAGTATAATGATTGTTGGTCTAGTCAAAAACCCATCCATATATTTGAATATACAGATTGGAATATACTTCATCTTAATCCATTCAAAATTACCAATCCTTTTACAGTTACTGAATAAGGATATCTTAAAGAAAATTACTAAACCGATATATGCTCATGTGCAGATATAGCAGTCATGTAATAAGATATAGTATGTAGGAGTTGTGCTTTGTTTGGTATTATTACCTCTAGATTTGGCAGTATATGCCAACTGGTCTGAATTTGAGTTATCTATTAGGAGGTTAAGAAGCATTAGTCTGTTGCTAATTATTTGATTTGATCCATTAGCACTGATAGCAACATTAGTAAAAACAGACTAGACCTTTAAGGAGTCATATCCCAATTGATCATATGGCCCTTAAATTTGGTAATGTTCAACTAGAAATCAAAACTAAAACATTTACTAGAAAATATATACTTGTATCAAAGGTCCTCTTTATAGTATGGTATTGTAAACAAAAAGGTGGGATGTGATAGGTAACTTATAAAATAGTTAGTGATATCTATTTCAATCATAATATACAGTGTGGTGCAAAAAATTTTGAATTTTTTTATTTATTTATTACTCAAAAACTACTATATAGAAATTAATAAAAAATATATTAAAATAAAGCTAAAAACCTAGAGATTTTATTAATATATAATTAATAATTAATT